TGGCAAAAATTCATTAGTTGCGATACTTTGTATATCTAGTGACTTTAAGTGTTACGATTACCAATTTACTAACTTATAACTTATCACGGAATCGATTGACAATTCGCGCGTACGAGAATAGGGTTATAACGAGGTTATATTTTCAATGTATAGTAGTTTTAAAAGTGTTGTGTGATTACCATAATAATTTTGAAGAAAAGCTATGGAATTAACAAAGATAATATCAGATAAGTATCGGCGAATGCATAAAAATATATAACGAAGTAAAACCTGAATACTTTGTGTCGTTTTTACTTTTTATACTTAAATTAAATAATAAGGAGATAAAAGAGGAATGAAAAGAAAAGGAAAAAAAAAGAAAGAGAGAAAGGAGAGAATGTACGAGAAGTGAAGACAGAAAAGTGAAGATAAATGATAAGACGGTAAAAAAAACCATTTTAGAACGAGATGGAAAGACAAGAGGAATATATCAGTGAGTAAAAGAATGAATAAATAAAAGAATAAATAATAAATAAGTTAATATTTTTTTATCTCGATAATAAATAAGTAATAAATTGCTTTATATAATATAGGATATATAAGGATAGAATTTATAAGGATATAAAACTAGGATACTCTTCATGTCGTTTATATTTTTATTATTTTTAAACAAGACAAGAAGAAGAAAGAAAGAAAGTACAGGGAGCGAGAAGAAAAAGAGAAAATATCAGGAGAGAAGATAATACATAAATAGATAAGGAACAGTAAATAGAAACGAAGCAAGAAGATAGAAAATAAAGAGATGCAAGATAGTAAAATAGAAAAGGTTCATTTTTAAAAGTATTATTACTCGTAATTCATCAAAAAAATAAATTGTTACCATCACAATTCATTATTGGACAGAAAGAAAGAGATATTGTTGTAAAGATGGAAAGGGAAAGATTATGTGTGAAAAAGGGTGAGGGGGAGGGAGAAGGAGAGGAAGGAAGAGGAGAAACAGAGAAAGAAAGCTAAATGCAGTAAATATTAAACTTTTAGAAGAAAAACAGTAAGAAAAATAAATACGATGAAAATAAAAAGGTGAAAAAAAAAACGGAGATATATATTACGATTATCGATTTACCGACTCGTAATTTATTAAATTAAATAGGCTGTATAGATGTCGGAATATAAATAATAAAATAATAAATAAATAAATATATAAAAAATAAATAATAAGAGAGAGAGAAAGAGAGAGAGAGAGAGGGAGACATTTTTTATAAAAATGAATTATTCTGAAATAAAATTTAAAGAACCTTTGTATGTACACCTAAATATTTACAATGTCCAAGTTCAACGTATAAAGTTATTAACAAAGAAACTTGTTTTCAGTGTTTAATATTATTTTGTAAAAAAAGATGTGATATAGAAACAAAATTGCTTTTTCAAAAAAAAGTATAAAAAGGAAACCAAGTGCACACGCCTTAACATTATTTGTCTTTACCAAAAAAAATCGTTATAAATACGTTATAAATTATAACAAAATCGTTATAAATTACAACAAAAGCTCAGCTAAAAGATATTTTAAAAAATATTATTAACCTTATTTAGATCAATTGTACTTTTGCGAATACTCTATTGAAAAATATAAGACAATTTTCTAATCTCTCTCTACAAAAGTAATGATATCAAGAGGTTTACGCCAAGTGCAAATGATTAATCATTTCAGTTTTTACTTTTATAAATATATGCGATTTTAGCTATATAATATATTTATAAATTAAATATATTATTAATATATTATTAGTGATATATTATTAATAATTATTATTAATTATTATTAATATATTATTAAATAAAAAATAAAATAATTAGAGAAATACAATGATGTTGAAAAAAAGTATAATAACTTAATAACTTATAAAAAGCTTGGCGTGCCTTTTTTTATAAGCAAGCGATTCTTTTATTTTAATGACTAGCAAAATATTATATTGATTATCGATGTATTATGTATATAATATTAAAAAAAAGAACGTCAAGTGTTTTTTGTATAAATTATTATAACTTTTTTTAACATTATTGTATTTCTCTAATTATTTTATTATTATTTAATATTTTATTTTTTATTTAATAATTTTATATTACTAATATTTTAATAATATATTTAATTTATAAATATATTATATAGCCAAAATCACATATGTTTATAAAAGTAAAAACTAAAATGATTAATCATTTGCACTTGACGTAAACATCTTGATATCATTACTTTTGTGAAGAGTGTAAAATTATCTTGTATTTTTCAATAGAGTATTCGCGAGAGTACAATTGATCTAAATAAGTCTTGGGACAGCTGAATTCGTTTCCTTTGACGAAGGATAAACGAGGAAAAAAGAGAGTCGGGCGGGCCTGCGGCGAGACGGACTGTAAGATTTTAGAGTCCACGCTTGTTAACGCGACAGTTTGTAAATAAGTCGATTGAACGTTAGTTATTTTCTTAAGAACGTGTACTTTATAATTACTCTCGGATGCAAGTGCGTAAGCGAGCGCAATAATATACAGGATATCCCATTTTAAAAATTGCACTGAAATATCTCTTCAGAAAAACATTTCTTCAGAAAAACATTTTCAGAAAAAATGTTTCAGATAATTTGTAAGGTTCGAAGGGGAACATCTGAAAGTGACCTTAACTTTGACTTTGGCGGCCATTTCAAGGCCATTTCACAGTCACGTTGATTTTTTTTAAATAGAATCACCTACTTTGTATTGTATATTCTTATAGCTTATCTCGAGAACTTTCCAAAACACAATAATAATGTATTTTTCCATTAAATATTTTTTGAGCAATGAAACTTGAAAATTACAGTATTAATTAGCCGGCATTAGCATTACTCAAGGTATATCACGCGCAGATTGCTCAGTCGGATTTACACCTCTTTCATATGTGTGTGTGTGTGTGTGTGTGTGTGTGTGTGTGTGTGTGTGTGTGTGTGTGTGTGTGTGTGTGCATGCGTATGTGGGTAGGTCGGTGTAATATGACGGTCCTCAGTCCTTATCTGTTCCATAATTTATCATCGTAGACATCCACCTATCACCTATCCATGTACACGCACGCATACACGCGCGCACACACCTTATTCCACAGTATTATGGTAATGGTAATCGAGTTGTTTCGAGTTGTTATGTGTACTACTCTGTACATATACACACACACACACACACACACACACATACATACATACATACCCTGATAGCAAAATGTCAGCAATATGCCGACAAATTGCTGGCAAAATCAATCATAAGATTGCAGCAAATTTGCAGCATATATACTACCATTATGCTGGCATTATGTCGGCAAAGCATGCCAAAATTATTTGCGGGCAGAGTGCTGCAAAAACCGAACAAGACGTGTCGAGCAACGTGTGACGACAAATTTGCAGCAAACAGCGAGCAAGACGTGCCGAGCAAGGCGTGATGGCAAATTTACGGCAAAAATCGAACAAGATGTGCCGGCTATGAACAGGCCAAAACTACCCGAGTAGAATTTGCACCTTATGAGAATCTAGTCATTATATAATAAAGTTGTATCCAATAGACACATACACATAGTTAGCTAGTGTAACTAGACAGTGATGAACCAATAATGTAACGCTTTTGCGAATAGTTATATGCAATATATTAACTAATAATAAGATCAAAGAAACAACATAATTATGGTAAAAAACCAAACTAGTTGCTAGGCAATATCACTTTTCCTAATGAGGACATAAGTTACCTAATAGTTAGACAAAAAATATAACTAGTGATGTAGTTTATTTTCTGCATATCTCATCATCAGTAGATAGACTGTCCTAGTTAAAATTTTTAGTTCTATGAAATGCTATTTGTGTCTTTTAGAGATGACACCAGTGGCTTTTATTATTGAACTCTTCCTAATCATGTAGAACGTAAGTATCTCAGTGTATATTCCTCTTGGAAAAAATTCCTTGCTCACATTGGATTTGAACTCGAGATCTTTGGTTCTTCAAGTCTGTCGTCCTATATGTTACTCCACTTCAACTTCACTAACAAACGTGTTTCGTATGGCCCTCATATGTTGCATGAGATTTGGCACGACTTGCTCGGCTTTTGTAGTCAGTTTGCCGTCATATGTTGCTCGGCACGTCTTGTTCGATTTTTGCCGCAAATTTACCGTCACGCGTTGCTCGGCACATCTTGTTCGCTATTTATTGCAAATTTGTTATCACATATTGCTCGGCACGATTTGCTCAGTTTATGCTATCAATATGCCGTCATACTACTAATGATAGCTTGTCCAGTTTTTGTCAGCAGTTTGCTATCACACTTGCTAATAGGTCGTGTCGCAATATTGCACACATTTTGCCGACATTACTTGATATAGCAAATCGTGCTGCAATTTTGTTGTTATTCTGTTGATAAAACTTGCAGCACGCTTTGCCGAAATTTGCTTTTGGCACGTTTGGCTATCAGGGTAGTGTCCCGCGTAAGACATCCAAGAAGAAAAAGATAAGTAGAACAAATAAAAGTAAAATAATATTGTACAGGTCATTTTTTTAACAACCACGTAAAATTTCGAGTTATTAAATAAAATAAATAGGCAAATCAGAGCGCGCAATATATATATATATATATATATATATATATATATATAT